CGACTGGTCGCGCTTGCCGGGCGCAACGAGCATCACCATCTCGTCGATGCAGTCCACCTCGCTGATCAGCCCGGTAGGGTTGGGGAGGTACGCCTCACACGTAAAGCACACCAGCGCGCAAGACACGGCACGGGCGGAGCACGGCTCAGCCGCGCGCGCCCCGGCGCCTCGCCGGCGGGTTCTCCCCCACCCGCCTCTCGCGCTGCGCGGCGGCCGCCGCGAAGTAGGCGGCGAAGGCGCCCCGGGCACCAGGAGGGGCGGCCCCACGCGGCAGCAGCTGCGCCACCACCGCCCCGCACCCCACCCGCGCCCGCTGCGGCGGCTCGGCGCCCACCCCGATCAGAAACGCAGCCCCGTGCGGCGGCTTGCGGTCCGCCGCCGCGTTCCAGCGCAGCAGCGCCGCGGGGACACCCGCCGCCGCCCGCCGCCCGGCGCCCGCCGCTGCCGCATCGTCGCGCCCCGATGCGGGCAGGCACGCACCGCCCATTTCCCAAGACGCCGCCCCCTCCGCCACACGAAGAAAGAAAGAAGGAAAGGAGGGAGAACGCGGGTGCGGAAACAGCCGCGCAGGAGCGGCGTCGCGCGGGCGGGGCCGGGCAGGCAGGGCCGCCTCCCCCCACCCCCCGCCACGCCAGTCACTTTTTTTGTCGCGCTTTCTTTTTCTCCGCAGGGCACGGGCCGCCAAAAACAAAGCCGAGGGCGCGGGCCGAGAAAAGAACCATCCCCGCAGCGCGCCGAAGCGCCGCGGCGTCGGGGGGCGGGCGTCAGCTCCTCCCACCAATTTTCCTCCGCCTGAGGCGGGCCTCGGCGCACAGGGCGCACAACGGGTCGGGGTGATACATGTTTCCCAGGAAGTCCTCGCCCCACTCCGCCGCCTGCCGGGCCCGGCGCCACTGCAACAGACGCCGGACCGACGCCGCGTCGCCCTCCAGCCGCCGCAGGTGCTCCGCAAACCCGCGGAAGGCATCCTCCGCATCCGCCGCCGCGCCGTCGCCCAGCTGCCCGGGAAGGAACTCCTCCACCTCCACAATGCTGCCGCGGCCCGCCGGGACGAACTCCGCCACGTTCGGCGCCCCCCAGTACAGGGGAACCGCCCCGCTCAGGAGGGCGTGGTACACCTTCTCCGTCACGTAGTCCGCCTCCCTCGAGTTCTCCAGCGCCATGGCGTACTTGTACCGCCGGAAAACGCACAACTTCTGAGGGTAGCGCCCGGCAAGGCGGGCGCACTCCGCCGGCAACTGGCGATTTCGGGCGCAGGCGCCGAAACTGTGGACCGGATAATGCCTCGCCAGGCGGCGAATGAAATCTGCGCGGCGCGCCTTGCAGCGGGACACAAACACCGCCACGGCGGAGTGGCGTTGCCGCCAGCTCGCCCAGTCGGCGCCGTCGCCGGGGGCAAGCGACTTGCTGTTGTCGCGAATAAGTTGCAGGAAGTGGGGCTGCTGGCGGTGGGCCCATGTGAAGTAGTAGGGCCGGTGGCGGTGGAAGGAGACCACGACGTCGTACAGGCGCTGGTAGGCCTCGGTGCCTCGCTTCCTGTCCGTGTGGTTGCTCTCCCCCGTGTAGAAGAGGGTGAGGTGCGGCGGCCGCCCACGCGAGGGGCGCGCCGGAACGGGCCCGTTGTGGTTGATTGCGATGTCCGCGCGCCGCCACGCCCCCGCGCTGTGCCTCGAGCGCACGTAGCAGCTAAAATCGCCGCCGCCCTCCCGCCCGTCGTTCCCGCACGACTGGACGCAGCCCTGCGGCAGCGCGGTCGCGTTCGCCATGTACTCGCACAGGTACGTGCCCGGCCGCGTGGGGACCACGAGAACGTCCCTGTCCCCGTCAAACGCGCCCGCGCGCCGCCGGCTGCCCCCCGGCGTCCCCGGCGACGGCGCCCCCCCGGCCCCGGCCGCCGAAGGGCCCGCCCCACCTCCCCCCGCGCCCCACAGGCAGAGGGCGGCAACGGCGCAGAAAAGAAGGACGAGCCCACGACGACGACGACGACACCCCCGCCAGCGCATGCGTCCCGCACCGCCCCCTGCGAGCGTGCGGCGGGCAGAAGGAGCCGGCCCTAAAAAAACTTCCGTCTGCGGCTGCGGCCGCGGCTTCACTATTGCCCGCTCGAGGCGCAGAGCAGCCGCACCGGGCGGAGGAAACAAACAAAGAAACATAGCCGAGAGCAAGAACACACCGCCGCCCACTCGCCCCGGCTCTCCCCCCCCCCTCTCTCTCTCACATACACGCGCGTGTGCCCACACGGCTGGGCCCCTCGACGAACAGCGGACGGAGACCACGGCGGCCACATTAATTCTACACTTTTTTCTTGCCCCTCCCCGCACGCCGACCTCTTAGAAGGCACTCTGCCACACAGACGACCACGATGCGTCACCCCTTCAGCGGCGTCCCGCGGGCCCTCTCACACAAAACAACGGTCCACGGCCACATTTTCCTCAGAGAACACACTCAGATAACTTAAAGAAAATTACACTTCATGCCTACGCTTATTCTGCGCATTTGCCGCATTTATACGTGTATATACATAATACATTTCTTAATCCACTACCCATCAGTAAGCCCCAGACGAGTCGCCGTACTACTTGCACGTTCTTGGGCACGGAGAAAAAGAATGAGGAGCCGAAAGCGCCCTTAACCCACCCCTCCGCGCGGGGCGGGCCGTCAACACCCATGCTCTGCGACAACTTTTACGATGGTCATTTCGAGAAACAAAGTTATTGAGTGCACCACCAGTGTTATTTTGGACCAACAAAGTTCCGTTCACGGGCACAAAGAAAAAAAAACGGTGCAACACTAAAGAAGCAATGTAATTATAAAACAACGCCTCACCCCTCACCTATTTCCTCCCTCTTCCTGCCCACCCCTCACGAATATGGCGCAACGGGTGGTGATCTGAGTCCGCGAATGGTATCGACAAACAGCGGGGCCATAAACAAGAGAAACCACAAAGCAAACCCGGCACAGATGACCCAGAAGGCGGTGAGTGTAGGGTATGCGTCCTTGTGAAATGGCACCATGCAGTTCATGCCGAACAGCGAAATAACAAGGTGGATGGGGAGAAAAACAGCTGCCACCTGGTTCAGTATGGTCATCTTGAAGTCAAGAACAGCCGATCCCTGCAACATTCGCATGGAGATACCAGAGACGAAATTCAAGTTGGCTTGGTTCAGCATGTCACGGGCGTCATCGAGCCGCCCCGACACCTGCCCCACCTTGTTCAGCGCCTCCTTGTAGGCCTGCACCGTGTTTGACTCCTTCGCCACAAAAGACGAACGCATGGTTGGCGCAATGAGCTCCTGCAGAAGCTTTTCCTTGAAGTACAGTCCCATGCGGAAGTCGGCGATGCGACGGCGCAAGAGCGCCACGCGGCGAAGCAGATCCGTCTGGTCCTGTTTGCCGGGGGCAATGAGGAGCACCATTTCGTCAATGCTGCCCACCTCGGTAAGCAAGGAGGTGGGGTCAGGAAGGAACGCCTCGCAGGCGAAGCACACCAGCAAAGATAGAATACCGGCGCTTGTGGTGCGCCTCTGCAGTGAGGCCGAAGCGCCGGAGGTTTGCACCTCCAGCAACGGGGCGCCGGCGGGCGCAGCCTTGTCCCCGCGCTGCCCAAGTCCCCCCTCCACCTCGACGTGCCGCAGCAGCTCCGCCAGACCGACAAACGGGGCCGCATGCATCGTCAGCAGAAAGCGGTCGCCGCATGCAAAGGAGCACAGGACTGTATTTTCCTCGGGATCCGATGCGGCGGGGGCGGAGAGGGAGGGAACACGGCTGGGCGAACACGCGATGCCGCCAATGAGGCACTCCCACTTCCCCGGCCGCAGCTCCACCGTGTCGTGCGTGTCCGGGCTCAGCACCCCTTCCAGCTGGCCCGCCTCCATGCCTGGGAAGAGCAGCTGGAGCATGTTCCGGTGCTGCTCCTCGGTGCATCCCTGCATGTCCACCCACACGCAAAGGCCATCCGGGGCGCCCCCTCCGTTCTGCAGCTGCCGCCTCACGTCCTTCACCGCCCCTTCCGGATTGCAAAAGACGGCTGTGGAAAATGGCGCCTCCGCGGGCCTGCAAAAAACGAGGCAACGCTGCATCGCCTGCACAACCCCAATGGCGGCGGGCTCCGCCGGCCGCGCGTCCATCGCAAGCCCGCGGACCCCGGCTGCCTCTCCACCCTCAGGCATCGTTCAAAGTAAACCTGAACGCAAGCTGGGGACGCACACCTTTTCGGACCTTCTTTTGGGCTGCTGCTCGTGTCTTCGTTGTTGCCGCTTCTTTTGGCTGCTTTGGCGCCAATCGACACTGTCTTTCTAGAATGGAGTATTCTTCCACGCTAGTCTTCCTCGGTAGTTCGCGCTGAGGCCAGGAAGAGGTGCGGGCACACAACAGCACAGGGTGGCGCCAGCGGGTCGCCACGGTTCAGGTGCTTCTAGTGATTTCTTTGGGCTTCTTGACGGTTGTACTGCGACGCAGGACGCCAAGCAAAGTCAAACGCGTTACAATAAATAAATATGCGCTTCCTTCCAGGCTGTTGCTGCTGGTGTGTATTCAGCGATGCTGCATCTGTGAAGGCGCATGCACACACACGCATTCACAGAGAGAGAGAGAAAGAGAGGGCAAAGTCACACAGTTATAGTGGC